TTGTGGAGAGTTGTCTCATTGGCAATCATACCACATCTTCTTATTTTATTATTGGGGAATTGACATTGAGAAAGTTATTGACGCATTTGCTGTTAGGAAGAAACGTCGTTTTGGGTTCCTTTTTTCTGACCGGAATTGATATTCTTCAAGTTTGAAATTCAAAAGATTGAATGTTTTAATATGTTTATGCTAACAGCAACTCCACATATAGTATTGCGTTCATGTTTATTATTTGTTTTTTATACATCTACTTTGCTCAATACAAATACTAGCATATGGAACAAATCTTCGTGATTTTAAAAGCTCTCACCGCGTACAAAAAAAACACAAAACGACAATGTTTAGTCTTTATTCGACTCGAAGTTAAACAAATAGTTGACCAAAAAACCACAACAAGAATGTACAAATTTTTTTACGGTTGTGATTGTTTTGACCAACTGGGGGCCTTAGACCACTCGCCCTTTAGTTTGTGATTCCACTTCATTAAGAAGGTAGCTACGCCCCTGATTAATTCAAAGTCACTGAACCATGACCTAGGGGGCAGGGCCTCGAAATAAAACTGATATAAACTGATAGTAATGCAATTTCATACAAAGTATCATTGATCTATCACAAGTAGTTCTTATCAAACTGACTAAAGCAGAAAACTGAACATTGAACATTGCTAATTAATAGTCGTCAAAGTGATATGTACTGATATCAATCCAACTTCATACAACTCCCTCAGGCAAAGTTGACCTTAAATGGATTTGGCTATTTTAAGGTCCTTTTTGGTTATATAGCTCTTCAGCTGTTCTTATACATCCTTGGCTTTCAAATATTCAGCTTTGAGCGTTCCTGATGAAAGTAAATCCAGAAAAGCGCTTCGGACGCATGACATTTATTACGTGTTGTTTTCATTTTTACAGCACTGGTCGATACCTCTCCTGGTGGACTATCAGTACCCGAGGGTATCATCAGCTCAGTAGTCAATACTTCAGTACTGACATGATTTATAACAAACCTTTCTACAATTGTTCGTTAATAAATTTTGAAATTATTAGAAACTAAGGTTTCAACTCCCTCAGGCAAAGTTTACCTAAGATGGATTTGGCTATTTTTAGGTCCTTTTTGTTTATATAGCTCTTTAACTGTTTAGGTTCTTATACATCCTTGGCTTTCAAATATTTGGCTTTGAGCGTTCCTGATGAAGGTAAATCCAGAAAAGCGCTTCGGACGCATGAAATTTATAACGTGTTGTTCTCATTATTTCATACAAAATATCAATGATCTATCGCAAGTAGATCCTATCAAACTAAATTAAGCAGAAAACTTTACATTGAAAATTGCTTATTAATTCAAAGTCACTGGAACATGACCTAGGAGACAGGGCCTTAAAATAGTCGTCAAATTGATATGTACTGATAATAATGCAACTTTATATTGAATATCAATGATCTCTCACAAGTAGTTCCTATCAAATTAACTTAAGCAGAAAACTTAACAATGGTTGACGACGTCGTCTCATCTTCGTCGCCTTCGCCGGAAAAGCAATCCCTATGTCTCGCTTTCCGCTACTTTCCTCGCAGGCGAGACAAACAAGCTGAACCAATCCGGTGTAGAAAATAGAAGCGGTAATAATTCCGTAGAAAAATTGAGAAAAGATAAGCACGCTTCAACAGAATATCAAACATTCTTGAGTCAGGAAGTGTTTTTAATTTTGACGGATGAACAAACGACGATACAAAAAAATGCATATATACATGAAATAGTGAAGGATTATTTGAGAATTAATTTCAAGTCCAAAGAGGATATTCATAGTTTAGGTGTGAAATATGAATATGCGTTCATCAAAAGTTTGTTTGTCATTTGTATTTCAGATGCAGTATGGCCTGTAAATAAATATATATATATATATATAGAAATGCAATCCTTCATGCTTTTTTGTAATTTGTAGAAACTCCCTTCACCCTGTTTGTAAAACTGTGAGGATATCTATATATGACTATCGGGAGATTATGATTTTGATTGATTAGCCACTCAAAACTGTATTGGTTATCTGTTGTATGATTGGCTAACCAATCAGAAGTACTATAAAACTCCCATAGGGTATGTGAAGATATCCTCACACTTTTACGAAAGAAAGTTGAATAAACTATGGTACATTTAAGACATATTCATGGCTCTACAATCTGTCGATACCTGTATCTTGGCATTGCACAAGGTCATGTTTTTCTCTGACTGTTAATGACGTCTTTACACTAAATCCATTGGATGTTGGATGTGTACTGATTGATATTTTAGTCTTAGATGCACGATTTTTTTATTAGTTGTTATTGGCTTTGAACTAGCTGTCAGTAACTGCGAGTACTCTCAGATCTGTACTTAGTGTCTTTTTGTTGTGAGGATGTATAAGTACCCTGCCACGTTCACTCTGTGTTTTTGTTATACAAATGTATGAATTTTTGTTTGTATCCATCTGATGGGTTATAAGCCTTTTTCAACTGTTTTTTATAGTTTGTTCTTATGTTGTACTGTTTACGCCACTGTCCCAGGTGAAAAGGGGGGGGGGGGGGGGGGGGGGGGGGTGGGGGCGCCCGCTAACATGTTTAACCCCGCCACATTGTGTATGTGCCTGTCACAAGTCAGAAGTCTGTAATTCAGTAGTTGTCGTTTGTTTCTGTGTATCATATTTGTTTTTCGTTCATTATTTTGTACATAAATTAGGCCGTTAGTTTTCTCGTTTGAATTGTTTTACATTTGTCATTTCGGGACGTTTTATAGCTGACTATGCGGTATGGGTTTTGCTCATTGTTGAAGGCCGTATGGTGACCTAAAGTTGTTAATTTCTGTGTCATTTGGTCTCTTATGGAGAGTTGTCTTGTTGGCAATTATACCACATCTTGTTATTTTTATATATGGTATAGATACACATAGGGTGAGGTTTGCGTATGTGTAAAACTGGTTTAACCCCAACACTTTAAATTAGTTTCTGAGACCCAGTCAGGCTATCTGGATTGTATGTTGGCCGTTGTTGTTTCTCTATGTTAGTACGTCTATTATTTTGGAGGAGTGTTGGAAGTTGATGTGGTTTATTGTACTTTCCAATCTTTTGGTTATCTATTTTATCTGTTTTATGTATTATTTTTAATTCAAAATCCAAAGCCTATAGTGTATTTATAATTATCTTACCTCCTATACGTTTCTAGGAATATGATTGGTTAAAAGCATCCGCGTGGAGACCGTGTATATTCCATATTGGGTTAGTAGGGTTCCATATTGGGTTAGTATTTCAATACACTGTTAGTAGTGGTGCTACGTCCCTTTATAAAAACAACGGTGTTGAGGAAAAATCTTAAAGGTTTCAACAGACGAAGAAATTGATGATGAACGATTGAAATAAATTCATAAAACACATTTAAAGCTGACAAGTTGTTACTGTTAGCATTTGTTTTTGTATAGACCAATGGAAGAAGGTTCTAAATACTAACGTACGGTATTGAAGACTTGATCACTTTGATAGGCCGCTAGTCTAAATACCACATGTTAAGATAGTCGACAAGATAAATTCGTTACATAGTGTGCTAGTGACCTAATACGATATATATGGGGTCAGTAAATTCCATATGGGGATCTTCGCTCTCACCCCATATGGAATTTACTGACCCCATATATATCGTATTAGGTCAATAGCACACTTTGTAACTAATAATATGTGTCCAATCAACACCTTATCCATTATTGTGGTCGTCATTTTTTAGATGTAAGGCTACAAAACAGAAACATCGGTTGTGATTACACAAGCTCAAATTGAAAAAATTGAAATCATGTTTAACAGATTTAAACTCCATTAAAAGATCCAAGATGACCAAGTCCCGAGAAGAATCAGACCTACTACTCATTAGAAATTATCCTCTTAATGACACCATTGTGGCGTATAAACAGAAATTATCCTCCTAATGACCAACATTGTGGCGTATAAACAGAAATAATCCTCCTATAATGACCAACATTGTGGCGTATAAACAGAAATTATCCTCCTATAATGACCAACATTGTGGCGTATAAACAGAAATTATCCTCCTAATGACCAACGTTGTGGCGTATAAACATAATATGCAGGTCTCAATTTAATAGTGTCCGAAATTTCTCATCAATCACCAATATTTCACTCGGGCAATATTGTGTCGGAATATTTGATAAAACTGTACAACAATCTAGGTCGGAAACTTTTACTTCACTTTCAGAGGGATCAATATAAAGGTTCATGTCTCGACCCTTTGGCTAAAATGGCTGTGTTTACACCACAAAATTTACTCCGAGTGCAGACAAACATGTGCATCTGGAAACATTTTAAGGCATAGCATGCCCTAAATATTCAAATTTAAATGTATTCTATGTTTCAGAAAATTAAAAACTTGTTTGGATTTTGCTGTTCACTTTTTTAATCCTTCAGAAGATGATAAAATAAACAAACACCTGCGTTTCATTTGATACGGTCCACTCAGGTACACAGTTAAAATGTCCACGGTACACAGATATCTCCATTTGTTAATACACCGTCAATTTACTAATTAAACCTATTGACGCTTTTTTAATGTGGAAAGGGCAAATTCAGCAAATTTTCCATTTACAAAGGGAAATAACTCGAGAACGGTTAAAGTGACGGCACCCAAATTCTAAATTGATCTGTGTTTTGTGGTAGTTAGCATTGTGTATACGTTTCATAAACATTTGGTGAGTCAAATTAAAGTTAGAGAACGAAAACCAGTTTCGGGACGTAGGGACTGACAAGGGTAAACCTTAATGTCCACATCGCCTAGCGGCGGGGAGCATAAAAAAACAAAAAATTATGTTCAGAAGTACATCGTTTTATAAATAGGTTTTTACCAAGCTGAAAATGGAACAGACACTAAAGGAGACTTGCATAGTATTTTTACACTTTGTTGTTTTTGCGGCAGTTTGTCTGTATGATGTAATGTGCTTTTGTGTGCATCTTAATTAACATCCGAACACGTAAATCCTAAACATAATGCTTTATTAAACTTTCCTATGATAAATATTTAAACACTTAATATTTTACTAGTAAGTATAATCCAAAACATTAGAGGAAATGCATGTTATCGTTGTCTTTTTGTCGTGCTGTATTGAATTCTTATCAAATGGATTTGCTACCGTTTAATGTCATTGAAACAAAAAATTCGTAAGGGTTCCGCACCAGTGTCTCGCCTACTTTTGCTGTTAGTCGCAGGCTCAACAAAAATGGGGAAATAATTATTAAAAATTTTCCTCTAGATACTATCTTTTGATTGTAAGAAGCTTCTGTTCAAGTTTGGTAAGAATTTAACTGCAGACTGTATGTAATGTTAACTGGAAGAAAAACTAAGTCCATTTATAAGTAATATACGGAAAAAATGGAAATTTCTTTTTACAAAATTTCCCTCTAGATACTAGCTTTTGATCATAAACAAGCTTCTGTCCAAGTTTAGTACAAATCCAGGATAGTTTAAAAAAGTTATTATAATTAGAAAAACTTTAACCACAGAGTGAATGTAATGTTAACTGGCAGAAAAACTAAGTCCATTTATGAGTAAAATACGGATAAACAGGATTTTTTTTTGCAAAATTTACTTCTGGATACTATCTTATGATCATAAACAAGCTTCTGTCCAAGGTTGGTACAAATCCAGGATAGTTTAAGAAAGTTATTAAAATTTGAAAAACTTTAACCACAGAGTGAATGTAATGTTAACTGGCAGAAAAACTAAGTCCATTTATGAGTAAATACGGATAAACAGGATTTTTTTTTTACAAAATTTACTTCTGGATACTATCTTATGATCATTAAAAAGCTTCTGTCCAAGTTTGGTAGAAATCTAGGATAGTTTAAGAAAGTTATTGAAATTGGAAAAACTTTAACCACAGAGTGAATATTTGTGGACGCCGCCGCCGACGACGACGACGCCGACGGAATGTAGGATCGCTATGTCTCGCTTTTGCGACAAAGGTCGCAGGCTCGACAAAAATGGAATCGTGCTGACATATAATCAATGATTAAAACCTACTGTATTAAGATTTGTTTATCAGTTTTGACCAAATTGATAAATAAAAATCAATATCCCCTTGTCACATAGGTCTCATCGTCTACATACGTCACAACCAACTTTTAGAGAAAAACCCAAAATTATAAATTCCAAGGTGACAAAACAACTTGTCTTACAATGTGTTGGTTGATAGTTAAAAGTTTCCGCAATAATGACTTTTATAAGCTCAAATCAGGGAAAAAGTGAGAGCAAGTTTAAAATTGGTTATTGCAAGTGTTCTACTATTTATTGTAGAGAAACTGTTATCAAACTTGGTCCTGCGAATAGCTCTTTAACCGCGACATTTTCCGTGAAATACGTTTTGTCATCTAAAGATACTAAATCATTAGATATTTGACAATGTTTATTGACTGACCTTGGCTGAAGCGACACAATTTGTTGTTTCAGTATGATGTCGATCCGAGTCCCCATATTTGGCACACGGTGGACGAGCAAGCTCACAACGTAACAGTCCGCAGGAAATCAGGTCACTCTACCCGGACACACCAATCTGACTACTAGTTGACCAATCTTTGCTCTTACTTCCTTATGCCGCGCTGAGCGGAGAAGCAGAATACCAGTATACCAATTAAAAAGTTTTTGGTGACCCGATCGGGGAATCGAATGCACGACCTCCTCCTTCACTCGAGATGTGTATGAGACCACAGAGGCGATGACTGCTACATAAAAAGGGGTTAGGGTAATATAAAACAAGTAATTTGCATCAATAGTCCTATCGGCTACATTTACATATTATTCAAATAAAAAATATCAAAGTTTAAGATTCAACTATATGTGATCATGGGAAATAACCTAAAGACGATTCAAAGTTTGTACCAGCTGTCTCTAACTGAATATTAGCATCATCTTTTGTATTGAGTCGAGAAAACAAATTTGCATAGTCATGCTCTTTTCTCGCATCATCCTTATTTGCTTCAATTTTAACGGAATCTTTTGGTTCATACGTGTAGCTCGAAGATAAATTAACTGGAGCCTTGTGTTCTTTTTCCTTAAATTTTTCTAACTGTTCGCCATAAGTCCACGGTTTTCCGTAGCTTGCTGATGGGGCACTGTTTCTTTTTGACTGTTGGTCTCCTAGATTCTTGGGATTATCAAATTCTGTTTTAGATTTCCATCGATCATTTGAAAGTATATCGCCTCTTTCACCGTAAGCGTTGCGTCGTATCTCTTCTGATGGTAGAATATCGGGTGGTGGCTTATTACCAAATTGTCTCTCGGAAACGCCATAGTTTCTGTCATCCCTAGGTTCATAACCATCAGAGTGTACATTTCTTCTATCATTATAGTAGTCCTGTCTCGACATAGCATTATCATAAGGATCTTCTTCATTGGAGTAGTAGTTTTCAATGTTTCCTATTACATTGCGTTTTGGGTTTTTAGGAGAATCTAATTTTGGCACAAACCCTGTTGGTAAAACTTTAATACCAGCTACCAAGTGTGGTGGCACTTTTGCAACAGGCTTTTTGTTTGGTTCTTGTCTGCTTTCTTTATTAGAAACAGACGATACAGGTCCTGATGAAGTGTATTCACGTGGGGATATAGGTTCTCTTATTACAATCTCGTGAGAGCTATCATGCGACCGAATATCATGTTTTGGTATTCGAGGTTCTGGTGACAGAGCTCTTTGTGGCTTGGGTGCTGTTACTGGTAGTTCACGACCCTGATTTCGAAGAGGTGACATAGGTCTTGGAATTCTGAATTCATTCTTGCTTTGTATACGTCCTCTTTCTTGTTCAAAATGAGAGTCTAATTTGTTGTCGTGTTGTGCAAGTCGTCCCTTATTATCATTGATATCAAACGAGCCTTGCATGTTTGTTTGAGCATCACGCCTGTCATTATTTCTTATCTCTCCAGATGTATGTCGATCATGTTTAGTTTCAGCCGAATGTCTATTATTTTTTGCGTAAACCGTTTGCTGTGCACCATAATCCTCTCCGTATTCTCTAGTATCGTTTCGATTTTCGAAACTGTACCTTGAACTAAATTGTCTTTCATCTTTTTCAATGTTTCCTGCATATCTATCTACATCCCTGTCGTCGTTTAAAGAAAGTATCTCTGGATTCCGGGTGTTTCCATGAAAATGATCTCCCGAAAAGTTGACAGGCTTCCCGCCTTTATATATGCCATATGGTCCATACTCAGTTTGAATTAAATCCGGTTTCTGACCTTGCAATGGTGGTCTGTTTTGATATCGAGGTTCATTTTCTTCTGAATATTCTTGTCCTATTTGTTTATATAAAGGAGGCGGTGAAAAAAATGCTGAAGTAACTCGAAAGGCATCGCCATCTTTCTCAGTAATAAACCCGTGACAATCTAAAGCTCTAACACCCACCTGCCTACGCATGACACAAGCAATAACGACAGGGTGTTCTACTTTGGTTAAACTGTGATGTTTTTTATCCATTTGGAAAAATAATTTATCGTATCCCTGATTTAAAGTTCTAGTTTCATCGACTGGCAAAAATGCACAATAATGTTTTTTATCACTGCCTTTATTAGATGCTAAACGAACTGCTTCGAAAAAATTTATAGAACTTCTTTCGTAAAAATAATTTTGTGTGTGCCCAGGTTGATCAGTAGGAAATATAACAGTGATACCGTCTTGACTCACTTTCAACCACGCAGGCTGTGATTTCTTCCCTTTACCAGATTTTCGGTACTGAATGTATTTCTCGTATAACGGTTTCTGTATTGAACCTAAACCGGAAGTTGTTGTTTTTGACAAAATTGCACTGCCTAGGCATTCCACGTTCACTTGAACATCGGTCATTTTGGGGTAGAGTATTGGAGAGCAGTGAAGTAAAGGAGTCAAGGTAACATCTGGACCTGAAAAGAAAAATGTAGTATGTAGAGCAACAAGTTTTGACTGGTCTCAGTCCTTAGTTAAGAATATTTTCAGATTCAAATATATACCGTTAAAAGAGAGGCGAAGGATGCCAAATAAATAGCGGTATATAGACCGCTCCCCCATAACTGCTTGAAATTGAAATTGAAACACTGTATTTTGAAATAAACTATTACATTTACAGAAAAATTAATGTAAATAAAGCAGATAAATAGTACGGCGACATTTTTTTTACTGTACGGGGAAAAGAATATATACTTATTGCTATCATTGTTAATTTATTTGCTTCGCGGGTACCTTTATCCGGTGGTGTTGCTACAGAGTGATAGCGCATTATGGGCACTTATTCTACTTGTTATAATTATTGAACAAGCAAATCGCATATGTCATTTAATCTGAACGGCTCGGTTGACCATACTTGACCCGAACAACGTAGGTGTTCGATTTAAAGGGTGAACCCGACTGTGTAAATTAAATGACATAAACCGATTTGATTGGCCAATAACTGTTTTAACACATAGCGCCATAAATGTACATAAGCGTTTTGGAAATATGCGGACGATATTCAATCCACGGTTCCTGGGAAAGTTCTCTGGCAGGATAAATAAAGGGAAAACTACGCTTTAAGTAGTAAAAGGTTGGTAACATTTCAATAATTACCTTTTTTGATATTCAGGCTTTCTCCTACTAAGTTGTTACATTATTTCGATATTCTGAAATACACTTATTTTTGGCAGAAATTATAAAGAAAAGTGCACACGCTGAAATGTCTCGCCTGCTTTACTCTGAATTTATATTGAAAGTCTATAATATGAAGGTTTTACTAAAAAATATCACATAAACTTAACATTATCAATGTATTATAAAAATTGAAGTAACCAACAGATGGACCATGCCAGACACACATGTACACCTTACAATCAATCCATACACGAAATATAGTGGTCCTATCACTAATGGAACCCGAAAAAAAAAGATCAAACCACAAAATCTTTATATTGACCAATGAACCATGAAATTGGGATCAAGGTCATATGAACTCTGCCAAACAGACATGCACACCTTACAATCATTCTATAAACCAATTACAATTGATCTATTGCTTAGAATATCTGAGAAAAAGACCAAACCACAAAAACTAAACATTACTCAATAAACCACGAAAATGAGGTCAAGGTCAGATGAAACCTGTCAGTCTGACATGTACACCTTACATTCATTCTATACACCAAATGTAGTGGCACTATTGCTCATCGGCGTTTTGCATTTCCGCCGATCTGCATTTCATTTTCGCCGATTTTTTTTTCATTTGCGCCGATTTTTTTACAGGTAAATTACAGGTATATTACATGTGAATGTTATTTTTCATTTATCATTATAGACCTCTTCCGTTCGCCAGTTGTACAAATGTTATGAATTGTAAATCATAACATGTATATAACTGTTATCCTCTGCTCACCACGGAGAGGTGGAAGTAGGATTTTGAGCAGGATAAGTCAATTTAAAAGCACTATGTTCACATAATTTAAAATCAAGAAGTAAAAACCTAAGATAAAAGCACTCTGTTTTTACTCTTTTTATACTAAAATGACGAATTAAAAATCTATTTACAACATTAAAATCCATAAAAACGGATTACATTAAAATCATCAATCTGTTCTTGCCTAGTATTTATAGGCAACACATCTAATATATTCCTTTCTTGTGATTTCGTGTCTATATTTGTCGCAATTGTCAATAACGAAGTCCATCTTTTCTTTCTCTGGTTAACGTACTGATGCGGGCATTTCTAGAGTTCGCATTTTAACATACGTAACGGCCTGGATTTTCTTAACTTAAACATAAGTGAACAACGTTTATAACCAGATTTTACCAATATACATTCAAGGTATAGTACATGTACAAATATTTACTCACCTGTGTTAAACTGTAAATGCAATTAGGAGCAAATATAAAATCGGCGCAAATGAAAGAATGAAAATTTTAAAAATCGGCGCAAATGAAAGAATGAAAATTTTAAAAATCGGCGCAAATGAAAGAATGAAAATTTTTAAAAAATCGGCTCAAATGAAAGAATGAAAATTTTAAAAATCGGCGCAAATGTCATACGCCCTTGCTCATAGTATTTGAGAAATAGACCTAATCACAAAAACTTAATATTGTTCAATGAACCATGAAATTGAGGTCAGGGTCAGATGAAACCAGCCAGTCTTGACATATACCTTGTACACCTTACAACTATTCCATACACCAAATATAGTTGACTTAATGCTTATAGTTTATAAGATACGGACTTGACCACGTAACTTTAACCTTAATCACTGATCCAGGAAATGAGGTCGAGGTCAGGTGAACTATACCTGACGGACATGTAGACGTTGCAAGGAACCCATATACCAAAAATTTGTAAGGGGTTCCGCGGAACCATGTGTCTCGCCTACGATTGCTGCTGTCAATGTAAAAGTGCAATGTTGACTGTAAAAGTAAGTCCATTTTTCAGTAAAATACAGGAATTAAAAAAAAATCAACTTTTTCTTTAAATGCTATTTCTGGTCTTGACGATTAGCTTCTGTTTAAGTTTCATAACATTACATGAATATTTACAAATTTATCATGTTAAGAAAATTTAATCCCAGACTCTCTGTAAATGTTAACTGTAAAAAATTCGTAAGGGTTCCGCGGAACCCAGTGTCTCGCCTACTTTTTCTGTTAATCGCAGGCTCAACAAAAATGAGGAAGTAAATCAATAAAAAATATTCCTCTTGATACTATCTTTTGATTGTAAGAAGCTTCTGTCCAAGTTTGGTAAAAATCCAGGATAGTTTATGAATCTAATAAATGTTTAATAACTAAATTAACTGCAGACTGAATGTAATGTTAACTGGAAGAAAACAAAATTTCCTTCTAGATATTAGCATTTGATCATAAACAAGCTTCTGTCCAAGTTTGGTACAAATCCAGGATAGTTTAAGAAAGTTATTAAAATTTTAAAAACTTTAACCACAGAGTGAATGTGTTGTTTCCTGGCAGAAAATATAAGTCCATTTAAAAGTAAAATAAGGAAAAAATGGATTTATTTTTTTACAAAATTTACTTCTGGATACTATCTTATGATCATAAACAAGCTTCTATCCAAGTTTGGTACAAACCCAGGATAGTTTAAGAAAGTTATTAAAATTTTAAAAACTTTAACCACAGAGTGAATGTAATATTTCCCGGCAGAAAAACTAAGTCCATTTACAAGTAAAATACGGAAAAAATGGAATTTTATTTTTACAAAATTTACTTCTGGATACTATCTTATGATCATAAACAAGCTTTTGTCCAAGTTTGGTAGAAATCCAGGATAGTTTAAGAAAGTTATTAAAATTTCAAAAACTTTAACCACAGAGTGAATATTTGTGGACGCCGCCGACGACAACGACGACGCAGACGGAATGTAGGATCGCTATGTCTCGCTTTTTCGACTAAAGTCGAAGGCTCGACAAAAATGAAGTCCATATATCAGAAAAATACTAAAAAGACAAAAAATATATTTTCAAAGGTTTGCTTCAGAAATTATCTCTTAATCATTTAAAAGCTTCTGCCAAAGTTTCATAACACTCTATGAAAGTTTGACAAAGTAATTGATGTGTAAGAAACTTTAACCCTAGACTGTATCTACTTGTTAACTGTAAAAAAAAACTAAGTCCATTTATCGGTTAATAGCGGAAAAATGAAAATAAATATTTTTAAAAATTTGCTCTGGATACTGTATTTTGGTCATAAACAAGCTTCTTTCCAAATTTCATAAAATTCAACGTAGGTTTGACAAAGTTATGGATGTCTAAAAAAAACTTTAACCTCAGACTACATCTGAATGTTAACCCTAAAAAAAACCTAAATCCATTTATCAGTAAAATACGGAAAAATGAAAATAAATATTTTCGAAATCTGTTCTGGATACTGTATTTTGGTCAAAAACAAGCTTCTGTCCGAATTTCATAAAATTCCATGTAGGTTTGACAAAGTTATTGATGTCTAAAAAAAAAACTTTAACCACAGACTGAACCTAAATGTTGACGCCACCGACGACGGAATCTAGGATCACAATGTCTCGCTTTCGCAAAATAAATTTCGCAGGCTCGACAAAAATAGTTTTCCTGTTACTTATAGTAAGCGAGTATTTCACTTGACAAAAAAACTTTTTTTTCAAGCAATCACTGAACCATGAAAATGAGGTCAAGGACAATGGACATACTAGAGACGGAAACTTCGTAACATAAGGTATCTGCATACAAAGTATCGAAGCATCCAGTCTTCTTCCTTCTGAATTATAATGCTTTAAACAAAAATTTTACGACGTCGCCGCCGCCGGATTGTAATCCCTATGTCTCGCATTCTGCGACGAGACAATAAATGATTATCTATAGTTTATCACTGAATTAAGATTTACATTGTCCACAAGTTTTATCATAAAATGTTCCCAATTTAAGGAATGAGAAATACTTTCTTTTTCGTATTTTGAAACGACGAAGTTTGTACAAAGTCGTTGATTAATCAACTATGTCGTAATTGCAAGGTAAGTTCCAGATTCAAAATTAGGATGGGAGAGTAGAGGGCGTACATCCCCTTTGATTCGAAAATAAATATTTTAAGCATAAAATCGCACAAGTTTTTTTTAATAGAATTACGCCCTTTTGGAAAATCCTGGATCCCCCCTCCCCCCGAAGGTAAAAGCATATTTGAACTGTGCAGTATATCTTGAGGCAGTTAATGAACACCGTAGCTGTACATTATCCAGATTATTGCACAGTAAGAACTAAGAGACATTGCATAACAGCAAGTATATATCCGATATATGTCACTTTTAATTTGCGTTAACGACTTTAATCTTCGCTGCGTAGTAATCCATCTTTTTTTCGGAGTTTTAATTTCTCTCATAAAACTTCGTCTAAGATACCAGCGAATTAGTACGCCAGATGCAAGATTCTTCTACTCA